ATATTCTATTCCACTGTATAATATTTTGGTTTACTCGTCATATCAAACAGGGAAAATGTAAAAACCCGAAAAGGTGTACATGTGAACATGAATATATATACACGGGGAGCCCTGATTTTTGTGAGTGCAATGCGCAGGCTTTTCTCGGTACGCAAGTCGACAAGTAGTCCAGTGGAAAAAGCGCGCCTGCCATTGGCTTCGGCGCCAAAACCGCCGGCATTTAGTCTCCGCTAACCGTCACGCACGGATCCCCTACAAGTACCCACATTACTATTACTAAGTAAATCCCACTGTACCAGAACAATTGCTCCAACCAAAACAGCCATTAAAAATCATCATTTTGTGTGAACTTGAGTGGCAGTTCATTGAACGAAACGTTCTTGGCATGAATAGGACGAAGAACCATTATGTTTAATCCAGTGTTCACTTAAGAAAGGGTGAAAATAGACTGAAACTGTGTAGTTGCTGTGATTCTGTGAATTATGAATGAGAAGAGCTCACTACTAAACGAGGGGAAGGGACAGCTTCCGATCTTCCGTTTGTCATCTATCTTGTGATGCACAATTTCCACTTGGCCGATCAAATCTGGTAATTCCTGGTCTTTCCCTTTTCTCAAGGGTCCGACTCGCAATAAATTTTATCTCAACCTTTCCAATGGAAAGATTAATAGGATTAATACGATTAAAGATTAATGCATTAGCCTAATGTCAAACCCAGATATCTAATTTTTAGGAGTGGGTCACGTTTTTAGGAATTTCTCTAAATTTACAAAAAATAGCTAAATTTTTTGTTTAAATTTTTTGTGTACTACATTTCGAAAGGAGTTTCATATTCAATGCCATTTCCCTCGAGGATTCGTCTAAGGAATTCGAATAGTCGAGTGTAGTTGATGCACATTCCATTTTTACCGGAAGTTCTAGCGATTTTTAGTTTTGTGAACCTTAAGTAAGTTTTTCTCGAATGACTAGATAACAGTTACTAAGCAGCTTAATTTTTAAACGTTATTTTTATCGCAAAATGATACAATGTATAATTCATCAATTACTGAGCTTTCGAACTGTTTTTGGATTAGTTAAGAAAATCTTTCTTTAATTAAGTGAAATGAAAAATAAATAAAATAAAGTCCGAACTCTTGTTTCTCCGTGACAGCTATCGAGATTTCAATTTATTTTGGATAGACATTCCCTAGGTAAAAAAAAAACAAAGTTTTTGATGCAGAAAGCGGAGGACTCCAATGAGTAATGTTATCACACCACTCGTGATCACTACCATAAATTGAAACTCAGATGCCGAGAAAACTCTAGAAAGTTTTCGTAATGTAATGAAAATCGCTACAAGAGCAAAAGCCCTCACTGTTTCTTTAAGCGAACGCCGAGAAGTTGAATACACAAGTAGCTTTTACTTAATCCCCACATCCTTGGGTGATATTGGTATCTCCAGATAATAAAAATATTTCATCTTGGGACAAATGCTTGTGAATTCCTGTCCTCAGTAATCTCCAATTTTTTTGAGATCCAATTTTTTTTAGACATGAATGACGAGATTACTTTTGAATATTAATACTCATCCACGAATCGGTCTAGACTTTAGCGAATTCATTGACGCCCTTGAGCGTTTCTTGGACATTAATGCCCCAAGGACGTAGATCGAATTATGATTGAATCATTGCATGCCATCTGTGCTGATGGGAAAATTGAAACTTCATCGGTACTTACCAAGTTATTCGCAAGAGCGATTCTATTTGGAGCGAAAAATCGTAAAATTTCGAAATCAAACGCTCCATTAAATATCGACTTATCTGGAAAATTCATGTGAAAGAAGAGGAATTGTTTTAAAAAATCCTGTACTACAATTTTTATTTATCAATGTCTAATAAAATTCGTGGAGATTCGCAAAAAAAGTTCGACATTTTGCGGAATTCCATGAGTAAACTGACATTTGAATTTCTTACAACTTGAGTACATATCATAAATCAATTGTCAACTATTTATTTTTTATTTCAATTGCCATGTTTTCCGCGAAAATTCCACCTGTCAATAGCGAAATCTCATGAAATTTCTGGGGATCTGGAGCTTTCACGAAGTGTAGTAGATATTTTAGTGAAAAATTTTCAAATGTACGTGAATTTCCCGATATTACCGGTCTCTTTCCACTGAAAAACTGCAAATTACAGTAATGAAACTAATTACTCCGATATCTTCACTCCATTACACTGA